TTTCATTGAGTCTCCCCATACGTCCATTCTTCCTGAGCTGGGTGGTGGTTCTGATGAGTCAGGACAGACTGAAGAATCCGCTGGTGCTGAGATGGTGGGGGGGCTGGGGGCTGGATCCGTCTGGAATGAGCCAGTCCGATCCTTAATTCCTGCAGCCTTCTGCTGTCACAGCTCTGTGGACACAGTCTCCTTTTAGCTGATCTGTGGTCAGTTACAATGTGACTCTGGGGAAATGACTTTAAAGAGCTTCAGGGCCGACTGATCCCAGATGAGCTGAATAGACTGTTTTAAGTCACAGAGGGGCACTGCTTGTAGGAAGATTGGAGTCCCTGGACCTCGGAGCGGCCTGTGGCGGCCTCTGTGGTTGGCTCATTATGACAGAAACAATAGTAAGGCAGGAGTTGGTTCCAGACGTGTGACTCTGATGATATTTTCTCTTTGGCTCAGCCTTTTCTAAGCTGCACCTGCCTGTAATGCAGACACTTTGTGCATGCAGCAGTTATGTTGACTTGCCTCTGTCCCTGTGTTTAGGTTTGTCATCATCCAGACTGCCAGGACCTGAACAACAAAAACCCGATTCATCTGTGTGAGTCATGTGACTCACGCTGCCATCCGGAGAGCGCAGGCAACATGCACTTTGATCGACACCCTCGATTCGACTTACAACCTCAAGGTAGATGATTTCTTTATTTGGTGCTCCCCCTCTGGGGCGATGAAGTCATCCCCATTACCTCATTACAGAACTTCACTGTGAAATATCACTCACATGGGATTTAATGTCTATATAAGGCTGGTGATGTCACTATTTGACTGTTTCACAGTCCTAAAGAAACTGATTGATGCTGATAAAGAATTTGGTTACATGTGTAGAGATGAGGTAGAATCAGAGCAGAAGCTGGATGTTTTCAGAATCCATGTTCTCACACACACACTTGATGGTGCTGTTCTTCCTGTTCCTAACCACAGAAATCTAATCACATGTGCCAAACTGCAGGCCTGCTGGCCAAATATGGTCCTGGTTTACATTTCGTCTGGTCTCTAAGATAATATTTTAAATGTTTTAGACTGGACCCACCAGTCTCTGACAGTCTCGTACTTTTCCTTTTGCTTCAAAAACGTATCCATTACATTTTATATGTTCTTAATTCTACATAAACATCAACTGGAAAAGGTTATTCATATTTCTGCATGAATAAGTTGTCGTGTTGCATCTAAAGCCAATGTAATTTCAATATGTAAATGTGTTTTTCAATAAAAATTAGCTGAGGCTGGTCTTTGGCTTGGACCAGTGGTTAATTTCTCCCCCTTGTGCAGTGGTGGAGAAAGTCCTCAAACGCTGTACTTAAGTAAAAGTACAAATAAACAGACGAAAATGTACTCTAGTAAAAGTAGAAGTACCACATTAATGTTTTTACTTAAGTAAAAATAATTAAGTACTTGCTTTTAAAAATACTTAAAGTATTAAAAGTAAAAGTACTTGCTGAATGTACAATGGTCTACAATATCATTAAGTGTCTACCATATGTATATTTTCTGTAATACATTAATAGTGTTGAGTCATTTTAATGAACAATGCTGCAGATAATGCATGTTTTTATTGTGTTTACTCTGTGACACAGTTCACACTTGGACTTGTGATTCTGTGCATCAGAATTTCAGGGATGGCATGCAGAGTTAAATGCCATTAAGCAAAATAAAAAAGAGGACCTTTGATAGTTTTTATTCAGTGCAAAGGAAAATCAATGTGTCATTTTAACTGCAGTAAACACAAATGGGGGGTTCCGCAGGGGTCCATCCTGGGTCCCCTCCTATTCTCTTTATACCTGCTGCCGCTTGGTGCTATTTTCCGGAAACAGAACATGCCCTTCCACTTCTATGCCGATGACTGTCAAATTTACTTCCCCCTAAGACACAATGGTACATGCTCTATTCAACCGCTGCTCAACTGCCTGGCTGACATCAGGGACTGGATGGCTTTAAACTTCTTAAGTTTCAATGGAAAGAAGTCTGAAGTCATGTTGTTCCCTCCCAATGACACAATCACAAACCACTGTATCGACCTCTCCGCTCTAACCCTGTCAGAAAAACAGTCACTAATCTGGGCGTGATAATGGACCCTTCCCTGAAGCTTAACAATCATGTAAACATGATTGTAAAATCATGCTTCTTCCAACTGAGGCGGCTGTCTAAACTGAAGCCCATATTGTCCAAAAAGAACCTGGAGACAGTAATACATGCATTCATTACATCTAGGCTTGATTACTGCAATTCGCTCCTGTTTGGTATCAGTCAGACCTCCATTGCACGACTACAACTGGTCCAGAATGCAGCAGCCCGATTTTTAACCAGTACAGGCAAAAGGGAGCACATTACACCAGTTTTGGCCTCACTGCACTGTTTACCGGTTCACTTTCGAATCCAGTTCAAAATACTCATGTACGTCTACAAATCACTGAACAGTGTCTCTCCCCCCCCCCCCATCTCTCTGATTTGCTACAACCGTATGTCCCACCACGCTCCCTGAGGTCAGCGGACCAGTTGCTCCTCACAGTTCCAGGAACTCGTCTTAAGCGCAGAGGTGACAGGGCCTTCTCTGTAGCAGGACCAAGACTCTGGAACGAGTTACCTCTGTTTGTCAGACAGGCCCCTTCCCTCTCGGTTTTCAAGTCCCGTTTAAAAACTCACTAGTATTCAGTAGCTTTCAACACCAGATGATCTGTGTTTTGATTCTGTATGCTCCACACTGGTTTGTCGTCATTATCTGCATCGTTTTTATGTCTATATTCTGATTTACCTCAGTTTGTATTTTGCTTTGTGTGTTACCTGTTGTTTTGTCTGTACAGCACTTTGGTTGGCTTTGTAGCTGTTTTAAGTGCTTTATAAATAAAGTGGTATGGTATGGTATGGTATGGTATGGTATGGTTTGAAGCTCTCGACCTTGACCTCTCTAAGTGGCTTTAAGAATCTGTTGGACTCCTGGCAGGGACCAATGCAGACATGTTCCTGTTTTTAGTTTTATACATTTGTCTCGGAATCTAGTAGTTTTTTTTGGTTTTGTTACCTTTTTCCTTTTAGCCATCCTATTTGTTAAAAAAAAAAAAAAACTGTAGTATGAGTTTTTATAACTGCTTATTGTTGTTGCTGTTGTCCATTGTTGTCATCTTTCTTTGTTGAAATCAGGTCTCTCTTGTAAATGAGTCCTCGAGGCTCAATGGGATTTACCTGTATAAATAAAGGTTGATTGATGGTATTTAAGTAAAAGTTGTCTGTCTGAAAAAAGGAACATTAGACCTAACAAAGAATAGACTCTGATCAGTTCAACTCCAGTTTGTCATCAACTCTATTTAAAATACTGTCTAGTCAACCTTGTAATGGGTCAATAGTGAATAGTATTTTAACTTCCTGACGCCACTTTCAAAACTTGGACCCGAGTGTCGAGACATTTGGAGACATCTCTTATCTCCTAACATCATGAACTGACACATTTTAATATTGCTGCAATAATTTCTTGTTCAAGTTCAGAAGAATTTGGTTTTCAATGTTTTTTTTTTAGTTCAGTCTGGCTCTTTTGGAAGAGAGAAACTGGCCTGCTGTACTGAACAGTCTTTCTATAGTCTTTCAATAATCTTTTAGCTCTTCTTGAAGGCAGGTCTAACGTTACCTGACCATTTTGCAGTGATTCAATGGACCAACTCTCTTCTCGCCATTGATTACTTTCAAATTAACAAACAAATCAAAAAGCTACAACGTGAATGTGACTTGTAACTCAACGCATTGTAGAAATGTAGTGTAGTAGAAAGTACTAGAGATGGGGCCGATCCAGTATCGGTATCGGCCTCCGATACTAGCATAATTTACGTATCAGATTTTTACGATCCACCTGCCAATATTTCCGATCCATGATGCAAGTTGGCTTCAAACTACGGAATGGATTTCCTGAACGGCGGCGTGTCTCATGAACCCAGAGTAATAAGACACGCCTCACATTCAGGAAATCCAGTTCATAGTTTGCAGCCAGCTACAATGTGAGGACTGAGTTAGCAGTACTCTGGCTAACAGCTAACAAACTTTTCATCGAAACATGTCCGCTGTGTGGAAATATTTTACACTAGAAACACCACCAAACAAGACAGCAACGTGCAATGTCTGCAGAGCCATCGCGCCACATTAAACTGTGATAAAGTTAGTTTTACGTTGGACATTCGAGCTCCGTGGCTTCAGCAGGGTGCTGCTCTTTGCTCAACCGGAAAGAGGCGACTCGATCCCGGCCAGCCGCATCCAATTTGCCCCGCTCAGTCTGCCCGTCTCTGAGGAGGGACAGACTGAGCGCGGCTGCTCCAAATCAGGCTGCCTGCTTCGGATTGAACAAGAAGAAGACATCGCTGAATCCACGGAGCTCAAATGTTTACCGAGAAGTTACTAAACTTCATAATTAATGACCCACCACTATCAGTTTTAGAAAACGAAGGCTTTCACAGCTTGATACTTGCAGCCAAGATATAGTTTACCCTCCAGGAGATATTTATCAGTACAACAGTAGACAATCATAAAAAACATGTGATTTGAAAATTATATTAAAAACAAAAACGGCTACATTATAAAGTGATGTAAAATACTAAAAACGGGAACATGTCTGTTGGTTTATGCCATGAACTTAGCAGGGGTTTGAAGCCATTTAACATTTTATTTAATTTAATTCATTCATTTAAAAGAAATTAAAAAAAAATTAAAAATCATGAAAAAGAAAACATTGAATAAAAAGAGTGCAGAAAGAAGAAAAAAAATCTTATATCTGTCCCTTATTTAAAAAAATATAAAATAACTTTAAAAAATCACTTAAATTTAATCACTTTTTAATATCCACTTTAAAGCTAGGAATAAAAAGAAACGTGTTTTGTGTTAGCAGAATTTAATTCTAACTTTAAAACTTATACAAAATTAATAAAACTTACCTCAAGTTGCCTTTTTGGCCATGCATGCATAGATTTGTACAAATTGTACTTGAGAGGAGATTATTATAGCCTCATATAAAATCAATGATGATGATATCAGAACTGGATCGGTATCGACCAATATTCAGACAGGTATCGAGAGCGGATCGGAAGTTTAAAAAAGTGGATCGGTGCATCCCTAGTGAAAGTACAGATGCTTGATGTAAAATGTTGTGCAGTAAAAGCCAAAAGTACCCACGTTGAACTCTACTTAAGTAAAGTACAGATACATGAAAAATGTACTTAAGTACAGTAATGAAGTACTTGTACTTAGTTACATCCCACCACTGCCCTTGTATAACGGAGTTTGACGTTCTTGCTCTAACTGATGCAATATTTGCATTAAACCGTGAGTGAAGGCCTTCAGCAGGGCCAACTGGCTTGAACACAGTGGGTGGTTTTCAAAGGAACTGGGCTTGTGTTAACTAAACTGCAGGGTGTCTTTCAAAGCCCAGGTGTTGAGTTCCTTCAGGTTTCTTTGTTCACTTTAATACATTGGTGACAAACACACCTGTGTTTCCAGCAATCACTACTGTGAGTTTTACTGTTTACTAAGGAAAACAAACTTTATTCAAGGTTTGGATTTACCAGTTTCTTCCAGCCCTTTTCAGTCTTTATGTTTAGAAAGATGTCAGGAAATTAGACCAATAAAATTGAGCAAACTAACCTTCATTGAGCTAGTTTCATGCAATGCATTTGTAAACTGCTGGACTACTTGGTTGCTAAAAACTAAAGAGCTCAGAAGCTAGAAGTGTAATAACTCACTGCAGGTTCGCAGAAATCATTTGTTAAATAATTGTTTGGATTAAATGCCTAGCATCCCTTGAAGGAATGCATATCGCCCACCGCATTCCATGCCAGAGTTTTAGATTAAAATGAGAAATGACAGAGTTGTAGCTATTTTGGTCAAACCTTGAAAATAGCATTAGCCACAATCTAACAAGGTTGAGTCAGGTCCTCTGGACAGATTCTTCTTTGTTGAAACGTTTTGTCTTTTATATAAAAGGCTCCTTCAGCCTGAGGAGATGCAGCAAGCTCAGTCTTATAAATAGCACCTTCTCATGGATCAACCAGTTTGCTGGTGATCCAGCCACAGTGTCATGAGTTATCCCAAAATATCAGACTCAGAGTTGTGTATTACTCCAAATGTCAACTTAATATCAGTCAAATCTACTGAGTTCAAGACATTTATGCGTTTGTTTAATGTTGATTACATCTTGAATTGGGTTGACTCCAAAAGTTAATCAGTTGTTGATGCACTTCAATTTACTGGAAAACTTCACCGTACTTGCCGCCGTACACGTTACACCTCTGTATAAGTTGCATCAGTCCAAATATGGCTAATAAAGTGGAAAAAAAATATATAAATAAATCACTTTGCTGTATAAGTCGCATCTATTATGCATCATCTCTGACAACACGGAAATGTGGGCTGGAGTTGTGCCAAAAATCGATTGACTGCGAAATGGCGGCCGCGGGAGCTTGCACTGAAGGACTAGAAGAATTTAACAAGATTAACACTTAAAAACAATATTTTTTTCCTCGAAATTATAGTAAAGGTGTGTCTCAGTTTAACTTTTCCTTAATAAATGCACTTTAATGATCAAATCAGGTGCATTTTCAAAAATCGTTTTGCGGCTGCAGAGCGCACAGATGACTCGCTGTGCATTTCTTTGAAATTTACCAAGATAACCACCCAAAACCAATTATTGGTTTGCTTGACATAATAGTAAAGGTGTGTCTCAGTTGAACTTTTCCTTAATAAATGCACTTTAATGGCCAAATCAGCTGCATTTCACCTGGGCGGTGCAGTGAAATGCAGCTGATTTGACGTTTGCTCCAGGAGTTCTGGAGTGAGATGAAGGTGGCTTGGTATGGCAAGCCAAGTGTCTCATTAATAGTCACTTTTACCTATTAATATGACACTTGTCTTGCCATATTAGTCGAGGGCTCTTTAGTGGCTGAAAATGGTAGATTTCAATATTTTCCATGTCAGAATGAATGAAATTGTCAAATCTCTTTTTTTTTTCCTTTTTTTTTTCTCTCTGTGTTCCAGTGAAACCAGACGTGCCTCCCTGGTCTTCTTCCCCCACCCGCTTCCCTGCTTGCACTCTTTTGTCCTGTGAACCCTTAAAAAGCCTCTTTTTTTTCTGCATACCTCTTAATTCGAAGGATCAGCTGGTCTCTCAACAAAATTGATCAACTTCTCCCGACAGGTGTCAGGGCATAAGGAGGACCCTCTTACCTTGACAGAAACAAATTGGATTCATGATGACAACTGTTTTTTTTTCTGTTTGGCTGATGAATTCTGGATTGTCTATAAATTTGTGTGGATGTGTCGAAACTCGACAGCACTCAGACTGAATTTGGGGAGCTGCAGCAGGGAGCTGTAGCAGGTTGTTATCAGGATTGTGAACTTTCTGGCAGCACCCATGAACGGTGGGAATCTTGGAGAATGCTGTGAGCTCGACTTTTGGCGTAAAGGATCAATTTGGCTAATTTGGAGTTCCATCGGAGGAATATATACCAGCGAGATTTTAAAAAGGCAGAAACAGCAATTCAGGAGTTCTGCCTGACCCAAACTGTAGCCTTGACGCTGGACTTATCTCAACTCCTCCTGGCATGTTTTGAAAACAACAAAGATGCTTTGACAGTCTCCTCACCACTCCCTTCCCCAAGGCAGTGGACATGTGACAGAGCCTCAACCAAGCTGATGATGAATGACACCTCTTATCTGGACAATGGCTGAGAGGGGGTGCTGGGGCTCTGGACTATGCTACGACTTTCCCTTAAAAATTCAATGTCTTCACCGGCCTATATGTACATGTCTATTTATGTTGCTTTGCTGTGGTATTTTTTTTTATGCCTCAAATTGTGCTCTGTCTAGGACACGGCGTGAGAGATCTTTTTTTTTTATACCCTCTCTCCTCATGTTTTCTTCCCTTTTCTCATCTAAGCAAAATGTTATTCTGAATAAGAATAAGAAGGCCACGCTATTTAAAACCGCAGCTTCGTGCACTTCGCCCATCTTTCAGATGACTGTACGTACATATTGGCATTGTATCTCGGTGCAATGACTATAAAGTTTATTCTGATTCTGAGAAATTGGGTTATAAATATGGAAAACAACCTAAATAAGTCCATTCGCTGTATAAGTCACAGGCATGCTAATGTATGCAAAAACTGCAACTTATATGGTGAAAAATACGGTACTTAGCATCTGTCAAGTGATTTAAGATATTTTGTTAACAACAAAAACAGGTTGACTCCAACAAGTAATGCTAGTTTCAAATGAGTAGCACATGGAGGATGTGTTGTGAACGACTCTCGGCTACTACCAAATCAAATTTTAGCACAATATTTGTAAAACTGACCAAATAATAACTCTTTTGTGTTCTATAAGGTCAGGCAGCTGTGGCTGCCATCTTGAACCAAGTTGGCTTGTGTGTGCGGTCGTTTTCTGAAGGTTTTAAGATTTCATAAGATATTTTGCTAACGGAAAGATCAAGTTGAATCCAAATTGGTTATGGCAAAATTGTAAACAAAGATCTGGTGCAGTTAGCATTCAGAAGGTGAAATGGGCATGTTTCTGTAATACTACCACACAAATGTTTTTCCTCAATATTTGCAGTTTTATCTGTAAAGTTATTTTTATTTTTATTTTTTTCTAGTCAGCTGGCTGTGCCAGCCATTCTAAAATAATCTCACTCCACAAGTTAGTCAGCTGTAGATCTAAATCCAGTGTATAATTTAGTAAATTTCCAATAAAATATGCACATGTCTTGTGGTTCACTAGATGGTTTGGTAAAAAACACACAGATTTGGGTATAAATGTTTTGATTTTTGAATTTACACCTTGGTAAAGCTCAGCATTGAAGGTTGGTCATTTGTTGTCCGACAGAGGAAGTGACTGCTGTGTTTTTTTAACCTTAAGCTTCCATCCTGGCTCGGAACGTGTCCACACGCTCCTGTCCCCCACGCACCAGCCCCCCCTCCGACATGGAGGAAGAGGAAGAGGGGAGCAATGATCGCGGGTCAGTAACCTTCCACCACATCCAGCCTGTGTTTAGTCATTCTGCCTCGGTCTTTTCACACGGGAGGACCATCTACAAACATGAAATGTGTGTTTTATGTTTTGGGTCTCAGTGGTCACATGTTGTGGGGGCTGGGGGTGTTCTTGTGCACTGTATGAGGCTGTTTTGGAGAACTGGGGTGTGACAATGTGTAAAACTGTTTTACAGAGGGATTAAAACTGTGGGGATGAAGTTGGGAAAGAAGAAGCCACGGAGACACACTGATGTACGTAATCCTGCAAAAGACAATCATCCAGCCTGACCTCCTGTGCATTCTTTGTGATGGAGCTGACACAAAGTCAGCCATGACATACTGGCTTCACCATGACTGTGGTCTGAGCCAGGGAGCGTAGATGCAAGGAGCCCCCCATGGGCATGTTGTACACACTGTTGGGCATCCCAGAGTGTGTGTATAAACCAAAAGTGTGTCTGCTCTCTGCAGGACCCCAGCAAGGAGTGCTTCAGCCTGAAGTTTGACCTGAATGTGGACATCAACACCGAAATTGTTCCTGCAATGAAAAAGAAAACACTGAGGTGAGCGGAGTGAGCGGTAGCCACACAAACCTTTGGTTTCCAGCTTGGTGAATTATGTAAGAATTCTTTATTTTCTTTGTTACCAGAGAGGTGTTGGGTCCGGTGTTTGAGAGGAATGGCATCGAGTTGTCACGGGTCGACTTGTTCCTCGATCAGTCCAACACACCGCTGTCCCTCAACTTTGAAGCCTACCGTTTTGGAGGACACTACCTCAAAGTTAAAGGTAGAGTCCACTCACTGAATCGACTCTAAAGGTGGTGACACTGAGCTGCGACAGCTGAAGATTACAGGTCCTTCTCAAAAAATTAGCATATTGTGATAAAGGTCATTATTTTCCATAATGTAATGATAAAAATGAAACTTTCATATATTTCAGATTCATTGCACACCAACTGAAATATTTCAGGTCTTTAATTGTTTTAATACTGATGATTATGGCATACAGCTCATGAAAACCCAAATTGCCTGTCCCAAAAATTAGCATATTTCATCCCACCAATGAAAGACAAGTGTTTTTAATACAAAAAACGCCAACCTTCAAATAATCATGTTCAGTTATGCACTCAATACTTGGTCAGGAATCCTTTTGCATGAATGACTGCTTCAATGCGGCGTGGCATGGAGGCAATCAGCCTGTGGCACTGCTGAGGTGTTATGGAGGCCCAGGATGCTTCGATAGCGGCCTTAAGCTCATCCAGAGTGTTGGGTCTTGCGTCTCTCAACTTTCTCTTCACAATATCCCACAGGTTCTCTATGGGGTTCAGGTCAGGAGAGTTGGCAGGCCGATTGAGCACAGTAATACCATGGTCAGTAAACCATTTACCAGTGGTTTTGGCACTGTGAGCAGGTGCCAGGTCGTGCTGAAAAATGAAATCTTCATCTCCATAAAGCTTTTCAGCAGATGGAAGCATGAAGTGCTCCAAAATCCCCTGATAGCTAGCTGCATTGAACCTGCCCTTGATAAAACACAGTGGACCAACACCAGCAGATGACATGACACCCCAGTGACTGTGGAAACTTGACACTGGACCTCAAGCAATGTGAATTCTGTGTCTCCTCTCTTCCTCCAGACTCTGGGACCTTGATTTCCAAAGGAAATGCAAAATTTACTGTAATCAGAGAACATAACTTTGGACCACTCAGCAGCAGTCCCAGGCGAGATGCTTCTGACGCTGTTTCTGGTTCAAAAGTGGCTTGACCTGGGGAATGCGGCACCTATAGCCCATTTCCTGCACACACCTGTGCACGGTGGCTCGGGATGTTTCTACTCCAGACTCAGTCCACTGCTTCCGCAGGTCCCCCAAGGTCTGGAATCAGCCCTTCTCCACAATCCTCCTCAGGGTCCGGTCACCTCTTCTCGTTGTGCAGCGTTTTCTGCCACACTTTTCCCTTCCCACAGACTTCCCACTGAGGTGCCTTGATACAGCACTCTGGGAACAGCCTATTCGTTCAACAATTTCTTTCTGTGTCTTACCCTCTTGCTTGAGGGTGTCAATGATGGCCTTCTGGACAGCAGTCAGGTCGGCAGTCTTACCCATGATTGCGGTTTTGAGTAATGAACAAGGCTGGGAGTTTTTAAAAGCCTCAGGAATCTTTTGCAGGTGTTTAGAGTTACGTCGTTGATTCAGATGGTTAGGTTAATAGCTTGTTTAGAGAACCATTTCATGATATGCTAATTTTTTGGGACAGGCATTTTGGGTTTTCATGAGCTGCATGCCATAATCATCAGTATTAAAACAATTAAAGACCTGAAATATTTCAGTTGGTGTGCAATGAATCTGAAATATATGAAAGTTTCATTTTTATCATTACGGAAAATAATGACCTTTATCACAATATGCCAATTTTTTTAGAAGGACCTGTAGAAGGTGACTCAAAATTGATGAAAACATGAATTTTTCATTGCAGTCTCTGTAAACTGTTTGCAAACCAGTGACGGTGATCCAGCAGTCTGCATCTCGACTGCTCACTTATTGAAATACCGGTACATTGTTTTCCCTTTGGTGTGTGTATGCACCGCTTTTAAAACTGTGCGCCTGGGCTGGAAGAATGCTGCCACTGAACCTGAACACACGTCAACCCTGTGGCTGTGGTCACCTCATTGATGCAACGGCTGATTCCTGGCTGTAGCTTGTAACCATATGGGCAGAAAAGATCCTCAAACGAAAATGCTAAACAAAAAAAGGCCTATACGGATTCAGTTGACTGACTCTTGTTTCACTATTTTATTTAAACACATATTCTGGTGAGAAGTCGGGGGTCTCTGTCCTGCCACTGTAATGCTGTTATGCCCCTTTCCCACCACTCCTACTCAGCCCCAACTCTGCTCAGCCCTGCTCAGATCAGCCTGGATTTGCACCGCACTTCAGGACCAGTTCTGGAGGCGTGTCCAGAATCCAAAATCCTACTGATGAACTTTTAATAAACTTTAGTTCACTGAGTGAGAGTTCTGCAATGAGTTAAACTCAAAGCAGTCTGTTCCTCAGATAAATAATGTTAAATTATTATTTTTAAATATGAATTTTTCTGTTCAGTGCCCTGAGACGACTGCTGTTGTGACTTGGCACTATATAAATAAACTGAATTGAATTAAATCTGATGAACCAGATTCTACAGAACAATTTATATTTAAAATTCTATATTTTTCTTCATCATTTGATGCATTTGCACTCATTTTGTATCTACTTTTATTGATCAGTTTAGATATGTTTTTATATTTCTTGTATACAGATTTTATTTTAGCTTTGATTTAAAGTGTAATTCTTGTTTTGTGATTTGTACCTGTGGGTTAAAGTTGAACTAAAGGCTGTAGCTCTTCTTTAAACATGTTTGAGGGAAATATTCCTGACAGATCCAATAATTTTGTCTTTTTATGATTTTTTTTCAGCTAAGTTAACTTTAATTAACAGATTATTTAATAAAGTCAAAGTGAAAACAGGATTTCATGATAAAGCCGGCACCGTTTATTTTTAATCTTCACTGATTTAAAAAAACATTATTTTTTATACATAAAATAAAAAAAACATTTCTACCCTCTGTCCCGGTCCTCCCACCTGCCAGGGCTCGGAATCCGGACTTTGTGAGCACGTGAAGCCGAAGTTCGGGCCCCAGCCTTGCGTGCTTCAACGGGTCAGCAGCTTGTATGATTCTCTGCGGTGACTCCGCTCGCTCGAATTTTGTCGTCGGTCACCAAACACAAAACGTCTTGACTTAAGCATTAAACGCGGTGTTGTCATTATTGTTTTTAAAATCTTACAAATATATCCAGCCGCTGCTCTGAGTTCCGAGAAATTGCAAATGAGGGATCGGTGAAAAGTTTCTGAGATCCACTGACTCCTCCCCCTGACCAATCAGTGACCAACCGTGTTCTGACGTCATGTTTCGTTCCCGACTCAGCTCGCACGGTCCTACCAGAGAAGCAGAGAGAAAAAAAGGGGCCGACTCAGCCTCGAATCAGCTAAAAAGTGACAGTGGAAAAGTGCTCAAACCATAGCGGACTGAGCAGGGTTGGGGCTGAGTAGGAGCAGTGGAAAGGGGTCATTAGCTTTATAAGAGGGCCAGGATTTTCAGTCATATATTCTCCACAAAAATCTTCCAGTATAAAACGTCCCTCCTTTAAAGAAGACTAGTCTATTGTTCTCATTTGCTTTTGGAGGATCAAACTGTTTTTGTTGTTGTTGTTTTGCTTTGTTTTATTTTTTGAATGTCCAGAGGACCAGATTTAACTTTTTTAGATTTTTCTACCTGGATTATTGAGCATGCATCAGGATATCAAACTGTTTTTTCTTTTTCTTTCACTGATGTGATAACAAAAGGGTAGTTCTTTTAACAGCACAGTTAAACCACCCTGAGTGTTAGCTTTGGTGGTTTAGAATGTAACGACCAGCTCCACAGAGCTACATAAGCCGATGTCAATGTAACATGAATTACGTTGTAATGCATGTGCCTGTATGTATGCACGATGATGAGGCACGCCCCCAAGAACTCTTAGGTCGTAGTGCCTAAAAGTCAGGGAGAATAAAGTTTACACTGAATTCAATGAGAGCATCTGAGGCAACCGTGGACTTGGTCTGTGTCCAAACCCAACAGGAAGTCGGCCATTTTGAGTCAAAAGGTCATTTTGGGGCATTTTTCACTTTTCATACATGGCAAATTTTAACGAACTCCTCCTAGGCATTTTGAGAGATTGCCTTCAAACTTGGTGGATTTGACCTTAAGACATTGGGTAATAAAATTTATTTAAAAAATTGCGTTTTCATATATGTTAAAGGGGCGTGGCCAGGCCTCAAAGTTACATCTCACGCCATAAATTTCCAAACGCTATAACTTTCACATTGAAAAAACAAAATGCACAAAACTTGGCATAAGCCATCCCTGTCCGATGCCCGATGATTCTCTGTGGTCATATTCTGACGTGATCACAGCCCCGCCCCCTCATAACAGGAAGTCACTTTTTTGGCTTGGAATGCTCCCCCTCTGATATCCTTGACCTAAACAGGATGATCCTGTGTTAGAAGACATATAACAAGATGGTCTGACTTGCTTTAAAGCGCAAAATGTTTTCGCTGGAGAATGTGGGCGTGGCGGCGTGGCGAAGTCAGAAGTGACGACATTGCAATACGTTTGGCTCTAAATTCCACAGATTTGAGCCTAGGTTCACCAAAATCACTATGATTGATGATTATCCACCCCTTGAACAGATGTCCATGATAATTGGCCAATAGCCTCCACAGCGCCCCCTAGAATATTTTAAAACCTTAGCCCCAAGCCATTTTTTGACCGATTATTCTGAAACTCAGCAAACATGTGTATCTTCTCAGGACCTATGAAAAAGTCTCTTGGAGCGCTGGTCCAAAATCAACAGGAAGTCAGCCATTTTGGGTCAAAAGGTCATTTTTGTGCATTTCTAATCAAGTCAAGTCAGATTTATTTGTAGAGCACATTTAACACAGAAACTGTTACCAAAGTGCTTAACAAAATATCACATCATCAAAAAAAAATTAGCAAGATATATTTACAGCACATGGAATAAAAATATAAAACCAAAAACAATTAGAAACAATGAAATACTAAATCAGATCACATTGTGTCAAAAGTCAAGGAAATAATAACAAAAAGCATAAACTCAGTCAGAAACAATGAAATACTAAATCAGATATGATGACCTTGTGTTAAATAGGAATAATAACAAAAGCATAAACTGAATCAGCATCAATGAAAAAC